GACCAAGGACCCGCCACTCTAGCGCTTCCCCCTTCAGGTCGATCCTGAAGTTCGGGTCGAAGCTAGCGAAGTTCTCATTCGTGAGGTCGTCTGCTAGCTGGTTCAGGTCCCTTCGGATCCACTGTAGCTGTTGCTCGCAGTTTTTTGCGGAGAGCTCTTCTGCGAGTTCCATGAGGATTAGCGTGGAAGGGAACTTCGTGGTCATCGCCTTCCTTAGCAGAGACTCGTTCGACTGGTTGTCGATGTAGCCACGGATCGCCACCCGGGACGTCTTCTTAGCCTCCGGGACCCAGAGGCGGACTCCCGCCAACGTAGCGAGCAGTTCCAGGGCCGCGATGAGATGACCTTCCCTGGATCTCCTTTAGCGAAAGCCCAGGGAACCCAGCTCTCCTCCACTTCTAGCGAGAACCAGACACCTTGGCAGCCCTCCACTAGCTCGAGGAAGCCTCCGATCCAGGCGCGCCCGGCTTCGGCTTTAGCGTCCGTGAAGAAGCTCAGGGGGGTCGCCCCTTCCAGTAGCGGTTCTGGCTTCTGTAGCCTTCCTCCTGACTCAAGCCGGTCGGCACGAATCTTGCCAGAAAAACTTCTACGCATCCCTGTCCCTTGGGTCCAGGCCAAAGCCCCGACACTGTGCTCGGTCCACATCTCGACCAGCTCTGGTGGGATCAAGCTTTGTCCCTCTGAGCTCGTGAGGCGCCTGTTGACCGCAGCAGTTAAAGAGGCAGCTTCCGAGCAGCTAGCCGTTCTTCTCCGGAAGCAACGAAAATCATCACTCAGTGGACCGTCTCAAGAGATTGAAGAGTGCTTTGACAGGTCTAACCATAGACACGGTCATGGAGCCGTCTCATGACTTGGTGGACCGCTTCGTTGCGCAGGCCGAGGAGCAGTGCTTCGCCCCGGTAGCTTTGTCTTTATGCACTTCGAGAGAAACCGAAATGAGAGCCGAGAAAAAAGATCCCGTGGCCATGAACATAGAATGAATGCTGAAAATCACCAAGTCCAGCCCTGGACCCAGTGCGGAGACAGGATCCGAGCTTCACGTCAGATCATGCATGGTCAGGCGCGCCCTAGCCATGCACATGGCTGGCATCTCTTCCTTCACAGAGGTAGACCGCTGGGTGTCTAAGTTGTTTGGGTTCATGCTGAAGCCCGCATTGAACAATAATAAGCCGCCTTCGCTTCAACAAATCATTGAGGCGGATAAGACGGTCTGGACGCTAGTAGCACAACGCACTCGGGGGGAAGTCCTGACGTCGGGATCGCCTCTGCCGATTGATGCTGCGCTGGCTGCAATTGCAAGACAGCCCGGAGGTGGCATTTTGCCTTCTTCCGAGGCCCGGTGGGGGCAAAGGCAAGAAAAACGGTTGGGAAAAGATTCCAGCTCGGACACAGGCCCGGACCCCAGGAAGCCCAAGAAAAAGAAGAAGAAGGTGAAGGAAGATCCCAAGAAGCCAGATGATCCCAAGAAGCCCAACACGGAGCGTGAGGAACCCAAGAAACCGCGGATAGATATCCCGGCAGGCGCGAACATGAAAGGGCCCGACGGAAAGCCTAACTGCTTCGCGTGCAGCAGGGGCAATTGCAAGTGCCAGGAGAAGGAAAAGTGTGGCAGAGGAATGCACAGGTGTTGATTTTGCCATGGCAACCACCCTGGCAAGGATTGCCCGTCGCGCAAGTCCGAGTGACTCTCGGAACAGCCTCGGGGGGCGTCGCTTAACAGGTGTGCTCCAGGAGGCAATGCATGTGTGTTTAAACGTAGTGGCATTCACGTCGAGGTGCCCGAGTTGAATTCGCTTCAACAAATAAATTTTTCTGTCAGGCCTGCAGAATTACTCTTTGTGGAGCCGTTTTGCGGGTCAGCCCGCGTGTCGAAAGCAGTTGCAGAGGCAGACTTGAATGTGTTAGCGATCACGTGCTTGGACCTGACAACCACCGATCATCAAAAAGTTCTCTTTGAGTGCCTGTGCAAGGCCAACGTGGGGAGCCTGCACATTGCCCCGCCGTGTGGAACGGCCAGCAGGGCAAGGGAGATCCCAATGAATGAATCCTCGGCGATGCCCCGCCCTAAACCCTTAAGGTCAGCCGAGGACTTGTGGGGCGATTCCTTGCCCAGCTCACAGGTGGACCGACTCAGAGTGCAAGCGGCAAATACGCTGTACGTGGTGTCGGTCGTGGCTGCGTCCATTGCGGTTCGTAGCTCCTTAGTTTCGGTTGAGATTCCGTCGAACCTGGAGGCTCCGCGTCCAAATAAATTTGGTCATGGCTGTAAGACGTCAAAGTTTTATTTCGACATGGTCCACGTCAGAGACAGTTTTTTGGTGTCGAAAATTGGGCCCTCCCAGGGCCCGCACAAACACTCCACCGCGTATCTTCACAAGCCATGATAGACAAAAGGTTCGTTGGATATTCATAATGATTCTGTATATTCGCTCCGCAACCAATACACGTGCATAGCCTTCCCAATTTGCAAAGCTTGTTTTTGTCGATGCACAGCGCTGCTTGGCAAGCCAATTCGTTGTTCAGGCTGATTGAACCCGCCGGCAAATCGGCATTTTGAGCCAAACAATTAGGGCAGTTTAGGGCATTAGGGTTTTATATATATATATATGTATATATATATGTACTATATACGCATATATATATATATAGAGAGATAGATAGATAGATAGATAGATAGATAGATAGACAGAAAGAAAGATAGATAGATAGATAGATAGATGGATAGATAGATAGAGAGCGAGAGATC